TAGAAAATAGGAATAAGCCTAGGCGAATACTAACCACTTTAATACAAGATGCTGGAATACCAGTATCTCCAATGACAGTTCGTTGCCGACTCAAAGAACAAGGATTTCGATGCTGTCGACCTGCTAAAAAGCCTAAGCTCACTCTAGCAATGCAACAAAAACGCCTTGCTTGGGTTAAAAGTCATCGGCATTTGACCGTCGATGACTGGAAAAATGTAAGTACTTCATTTATAATTGTACACATTTCATTTAGAGATTTGTCTACATTAAAACTTTGACTAAGTTTTTTTGATGTTTTTTAGGTATGTTTCTTGGATTCATCCAAGACTATCCAGATATTGATAAACAAATCACATTTTGTGCGTAGACGAGCTGGAGAAAAATTCCACAAAGGCTGCATCTTAGAACGTGTAAAGCATCCTCTAAGTATAATGGTATGGTCTGTCATTAGTGGACATGGAACAGGGCACTTATATATCGTTGAGGGAACTATGCGCCAGGACCAATACATAAAAGTTCTTGACACAAGATTGGTACCACAGTTGAAGGAATGGTTCCCAAAGAACCAAAAATTTAAATTTATGCATGATTCTGCCCCATGCCATAAAGCAAAGAAGGTTACAGAGTACCTAAAAGCAAAGAAAATTCCAGTGCTACCATGGCCTGGAAACTCACCAGATTTAAACCCTATTGAAAATCTGTGGGAGATCATGAAAAGGGAAATCGCTTCTGAAATGATCACCAACAAAATACAATTAATTGAAAAGATGATCAAAGTCTGGCACAATAACATAGATATTCAAAATAATGCAATAAAATGCATAGAAAGTATGCCATGACGTGTAGAAGCGGTAATAAGTGCCAAGGGAGGGATAACAAAATACTAAAATAAATCACCAATATGTAATCTTTTGCTTGTACAATAGTGGAATTTTATGAAGCCTCATATCCCAAACCCTCAGTTGATGTAGCAGCACTCCACTGCGAGTCAGGCTATTTGTCAGTCGATGTATGTACTGAAGCCCCCAGCAGCAGGCTATTTCATTATCACGTCAGATTGCTTACCTTAGTACGCAATACTATTTGTATGTGTGTGTGTATATATATATAATATATATATATATATATATATATATATATATAGGTGTGTGTATGTATGTGTATATATATATATATATATATATATATTCATATATAATGTATATGTGTGTGTTTGTGTCTGTGTGTGTTTGAGAGTGACTGAATCTATAAATGTAGGTATAGCTTATATGGTATTATTTATAGCACTCCCCAAATGACCCCCTCTATGCCCTTATTGTTATTATTTAAGTATTATTATTATTTCTATAATTGGCACTATTATTTTTATTATTGTTACTGTTGTAAATTACTACTGTTATTATTATTATAATTATTATTATTATCACTTCTGTTATTATTACAGTGATTAATACTGTATTGTTATTATTAATTTTATTATTATTATTAATTTACTATTTAGTTATACTTTTTCAAATTTACGGTTAATATTTGTAGGTTGTCACATTTTTGTCAGTTATATAACTGTTTGTGACTGATCCTAGCTATGTATTAATTTTATTTTATAAAGTGAAATAAATGATTGATTGATTGACTAATTAATCAGGCATTACTTTGATAAGCCTCTTCAAATGGTATTGTGTCAATATATATATATATATATATATATATATATATATATATATATATATATATATATATATATATATATATATATATATATATATATATATATATATATATATATATGTATAATAATGTATATACATAGACTTATTGAGGAATAGATGTAAGTGTACACTATATAGGGTTTAGCCCAGTAAAAAAAATATTTAAAGAAATGTTTATATTTAAAAGTTGTTGATAATTTGCAAAAATAAGTAAAATTTTTTTCTGTTTTTCTAAAGGAAGTTTATCAGTGTACTAGTTTTATTAAAAAAATATGAGTTAGATTTAATGTATGTAAATATTACTAATGATAATGACTATAGGTTTTATATTTAATAAGTATATTTTAATATAATCTATAAAATTTTCTGCAAATTTTTAAAATGTTCAGATTTTGATCATGTGTGTATTGTCTTTTTTAATAAGGTTAAATAAGACTAAATTGCAGGGAATTACAGATGTTTTTTGTCAACTTTCTCTCAAGAAAATAGCAAACTAAATTATATGCATTTTTCTTCACAATTAGCATAACATCAAATTATAAAATACTCGAATGTTCTTAGTTTATTATCTTATTTTTATTATTTTAGTTCCTAATAAATGACGCTAGAACATAATAAATCGAGTATTAGTAGCTTATACAAGAATTTAGAGTATGGTCCTGCACCAGAATCGCCAAAAATTGCATACCAATGGCTAGATAGCCACGGAAGAGAGTTTTGCCATTTTATTAATGGAAAATGGCTATCACCTGCAGGAAGAGAGATGTATGAAAGCAAAAGTCCTGCTAATGGTAATTGGTTTCTATATTTTATAATGATTTTAGTTACAGGCATTAAACAATAGATACATTTAGCCCACATCTTCACACCATATGCGAGGAGTGCTAAATTGACTGACAAATAGAACATGCAAGGAGTGCTGCTGCATCGACTAAGGGCTTTGTTTGGGTAGGCAGTCTATGAAAAAAAAAAATATTAGAAAAAATTTTTCAATATTTTCCAATCTTCTAAATTAATTAGAAAAAATACATTTTCTGGTAGAAATTAAAGACAACCAAGAGTATATATATATATATATATATATATATATATACAGGCCTTGTTTTAAATAAAAAAGTGCTTAATGCATTAGCTTAACGCGATTTTGACGTCATAAAATTATCTTTATTTTTTTTTATAGGCGTTAAGTGTTTTAACTACCGCAATAAATAAATAACCGCAAACTAATTCAATTTAACAATTAACTCAAATATAAACTATAAACGTTTTAAATATAAATTTATTATGAAAATTTTGTAATGTTTTCAATTATTATTTTATTATTAATTTTAGTTCAATATTATTTAGTGAAAAAAAAATATATATATATATTAATTATTTCTGAAATTTGTTTTTGAATAATTGTTTTTAATCGTTATTGAATAAAAAATAATAATGATTTTTTTTATTTTTTAAAATTTCTAGAGTAAACAAAAAATATTAGCATTGATAAACACAAACCCATGTTAATTATTTAAACAACGATTTTGTTTTGACTAGCAAAGAAAAATTTAAGTTTTTTAATATTTTCAAAATTTTTAAAAGCGTTTCAACTTGCGTTTTATAAAAATATAAAAAAGTTTTGTCTGCTTTGAAGCGTATTTTTGATACGTAGTTTAGAACGCGTTCGCTAGGAATTTAATTCATAAACTTTTTATGTTATTGTAAAAATATTTAACTTTTTAAACAAATCACAAAGAAACAGAGCTATAGAGAAAAATCGTTTTCAACGATTAATTCTTTTTTTTTTTTTTAATTTTAGGAAATTAAAAAAAAAGTTAAATTAAATATAAAAGTCTTAATTATGCAAACTCTTTTATTAATTATTCTTAAAACAAAAAAACAAATACTTGTACGCCAAACTTTAATCGTGCAAACTTATAAAAATACTCAACTGAAATAATTTAAGTATATTTAATAATTTGAATCGTATCTGTTTATAATAAACGTTCGTAAAATTTGTTTATTAAAAATTAAGTTCCTTAACTTATAAACAAACTCAAAAGTATTTTCATTCTACGTATAATTACAAAAATCTTTTTTTTTTCGTTTGTATGCAATTTAACTTAATAAAATAAAAAAAAGAATAAATATGAGGTAATCTTTGTTAAGAATAAATTTAATTTATTTATTGAACTATATTTTTATTTTTAATTATATATCAACTTAATTAAAATATAGTAACATGTTAAAATATTTTAACATGACTTGTATTATTTATAAACCGTTGGACAGTTGCCCTTACGGCACTATTGTTTTTGGATAATATTTTATTTTGATAAAGATCACATAACTTACATTTGATTTTAATAACGTAAGTCTTCTCTTTTTCTGTGATCATCGCATCGGCAAAGTCCCAAGATTTAAAAGTTTTTAAAGTAAATCTTTTGTCCTTCAAAATATAATCCATATTCGAACTTTAAATAATTTAGAGATAATAGAAATATACAAGGTTTTTATATACTAGTTTGTTTTGTTTTATAAAGAAAAATACATATTCATTAGTAAAAAATGGAGACTGTCATTAAACTAAAACGTGCCTTAGTATTTATTTAACGGAACCTGTAATGTGCGCGTGCATAATAAAACCTCCGTTATATAAATATATTCAACGTAATATTAGTGTCATCAGCGGATGTTGTAGTCTACTCATGATTTCTTTACCTTATATTATAACTTGATTTATGACAAAAAAAACTTATTGAATCGCACGCCGAAGAATTTTAACAAATTGTCTTCATTCAAATATTGCGAGTAACAGGTAATTTTTTTTTCTGTGCCGACCCCCTCCCCCCGCATAACTTAAACTATATACTAATAAACTAATAAGAAAAGCTATATACTATTAAACTAACTATAAGCTATATACTATTAAACTAATAAGAAAAGCAAAGACATTTTTTTTAACATCTCGAAAAAATGTCTTGATATTTTTGTTATCATGATAACAAAAATATTAAGACATTTTTTGAGATTTTATTTAAAAAAATGTCAATTCTTAATTACAAATTTTTTTGCAAATGTTTTTTATTATAAATTCAGTAAAAAATTCATAAAAAATCTATATTACAAAAAACTTTTATATTCTGTATTAATAAATATGGAATATAGATTTTTTTAAAGTTTTTTACTAAAAACTTTACTACTTTTTATTAAAAACATTGCAAAAAATTTGTAGTTAAGGATTGACAAACAATTTTTCACGTTGCTAAATATTTGGATAAAAAGTTTAGCGTCAAATTAATTGCTATAAAAAGGAAAGATATATCGCGATGGAAAGTTACAACAATTAATTTTAAAGTAAATTCTTTTTTTTAATAAATACCTTTACATATCGTTATTTAAAAGTTAATGTGGTTTTTTTGAAAATTAATTACTTCTTTTATGTTACCGCTAATTTAAAAGTTAAAAAATGATAAAAAGTAGCTTAACCAAAACAGCTCTACGCGTACGTAAAAAGCGCTTAAGGCGTACGTAAATCGCTCTAGGCGTAACGCTTTAAAACAAGGCCTGTATATATATATATATATATATATATATATATATATATATATATATATATATATATATATATATATATATATATATATATATATATATATATATATATATATATATATATATATATATATATATATATATATATATATATATATATATATATATATATAGGCCTTGGCGGAAAGCGAGAGCTTTAGCTCTTGCTCTCGCCCACACTCCCCTAAAGTGGTTTGCGGGAGCAATTTACGACTCTCGCAAAAGTATAATTTTTTCTCACGAAAGTATAGTTATTGTTATAATTATAAAAACACAATGTCATTTATAAAAAAAATTAATTGCATAATATACTGCAATGCTTTTTAAGAAGCACGGTTGTTGTTAAAAAAAGTCAAAAAGAGCGTCAATTTATATGAGGAGCAGCTTGCACAGCTCCCTAAGTTCGTTTTAGGAGAGCTTTTCTCTGCTCTCATGCTCATTTATTCCCGCTGAGGCCTGTATATATATATATATATATATATATATATATATATATATATATATATATATATATATATATATATATATATATATATATATATGACATAATCTTTTAGTTGCCACTTCCTATATTACAGGAGGTTCAGCACGACAACTGAAAAAAATAACATTTGGCATTAACTTTGATTGCCTGAATGTAGAGTAGACAAATGCTAAATCGAATTAAAAGACTTAATGTTACTAAACTTTAATGTAGATATTTGTTATTACTCTTTTCTTAATCAACTTTATTTCTTATGTAAATTTTAATAGTTCCAAGTATAAATTAGTTTACATTTTTAATCATACATAAATTCAACATAAATATAAATTAATATATAGTTTTTATAAATCTAACTAGTTAGGTTAATATTATCTCAAATGAGGCTGATTGACATCAGCCTCATTTGAGGTAATAGTCCAATTATTCTATAAGTAAACATATCAAATTTTTACCATGTTGAGTACTTAACCTGTTAAAACAGTAATACCTCCAAGGTACAACATACATAGATCCAAGGTAAACCACTGGTGGTGTACCTTGTTTTTAATATAAAAAAGTGTAAGCTATTTTTTTAAATTAAAAAAAGGTGATGAAAAAAAGTCTAGATGTTTGATAAAAAATCCTAGAGTAACTAATATCATCAAGTAAAGAAAATTTTAGGACAAATAGGCAAGAGTATTTTGTTCATATTTTTTATTTCTAAGGTTCATATTTTATATCATGGGTTATATCATATTTTATATCATATTTTATATCATAAGGTTCATATTTTATATCATGGTCAGGTCAGGTTTATCCTGCTACTTGTAACATGTAACCCAGTACAATCTGCTTCATGTCCTGCTGCCTTGTAGGATATGCCTTTTTAGGCAAAGGCTAGGAGATGCAAACTCCGACATAAAACACCACCTGCCTTGGGGCTCTTGGTTGAGTAAAGGCTAGAGATGGTGTCTCGATAAAAATACTCATCTTGGGCAGATGTTAAATGCATCCGGCTGCTGTCTTGTAGAAGGCCTCCTAGGCAAAGACTTAAGGGATAAACAGATTCTATCTGTTGACCAGCCTTGCACCCCTTCTTCATCTATTAGGCTGGCGCAGATGTATTTTTAATACGTTGTTTCCAGTTTAGGATGTTGAATGCTGGATCTTCTTGACTCAATTCATGGGTTTTGCTTTTGTCTCTGTTTTTATGACTAGGCAACTCATTCTATTATCTCCAAATGAGGGTACAGCTCTAAAACTCAGTTTTATGGTTCTGAGGACAGCTGGTAGTCAAGTTTCCCGAACTCTCTGGTAGCTCTCAGAGAGGCTGATTCCATCAACAGCTGAAAAATATCAGAGTACTAACAGTGCCATGTTGTGCATGGATGGTGTCCCTGTTTGTACTTTTGGTGTGCATTGCCAAGGCCACATTGGAGCCCTTTGTTACGGCTTAGGGTTTATTAGTGGAAATAAGGCAATTGCTTGGGCTATAAGACAGTGTACTGAGTACTATCTATGTTTCGAGTCAAGTTCTTTAACAAATTGAAAAATGAATAAAGTAACAAAAACTATAAAACACAAAAAACCACAGTCATCACGAAGTTCGCTAAACCTATCATTCACCAATATTCGTGGTCTTCGAAGTAACTTTTCTTCTGTTAAGTCTTATCTCTTGCAAAGTTCACCAGACCTACTTGCTCTTTGTGAGACTAATTTGAGTTCAGCTGTCTCATCTTGTGATCTTAGTGT